TATGTATAGATGTATATATGTATATTTGTATATATGTATATGTGTGTATATATATATAGCAATATATATGCATACACACATATGTATATGTGTGTGTATATGTATAAGTATATGTGTATGTACATCAGTAAATATACGTACATATGTATTTATGTATATATATGTATAGGTATTCACAATATATGTATATACATATACATACAGATGTATATATATATATATACAAACACATACATACATACATACATACATACATACATACATACATACATATTGATACACATGCAAAAGGAGTGGGTCTTGGGAATGCTTTTTTCAGAGATGGGGCACCGACGCACGCACAAACGGCAAACTACTAAAACTACCATGAACACGAAAATAAAGAGATCCCACGCCCGCTGTCCCAAATACAGTGACAAGCCGAATAAAACAGTTGCACTTGCAAAAGCACCCCAATAGCATTGCACATCCCACACAAATTCAAAACATGAAACACCAAAGACAAATCAACAACCAGACAATTACAGACCATAAAAAAAACACAGCAAACAACAAGAGCAACTCTGCAGGACTTCTCAGACAACCATGGGATATCTTTACACAGCGGTATTGGTGTCACGACGAATGGTACTGAGTGCTGACTGTGACATGCGCAACACTTCCCTTCTCTGCAAGACACTCTGGAGACTAAACTGCAAGATTTCAACAGGGCCTAAACTTACCCGATTAGGCGTGTCGTGGGGTGGGGAGAGTGGGGTGAGCAAGCACACGATATGTATGTGTACATGCTTTCGATATGTATGCATATGCAAACGTATAAGTTTACCTACAAGTGTATGGATATGTGGTATACACATGCACATGCATTTGACGAACGTGCAAATGTACCCTAATACAGAAATAAATAACACACGCGTAAATTCTAACACGTATATAGAAACATACACATTGACCTGACATATAAAAAGGGTACATGAGCACATAGATATGTGTAAAGGTACATACACCTTTGCATACATACTTACCTATGCAAGCAAATATGCACATGCATATACACATACAGATACATGTGTGCATGCCTTTGTACATGTACATACATGTAGATGCATGCTGTGTGCGTGTAGAGGAGAAGCCATGGAATAAACACGTGTATGCACGTTGTATATATGCATATACACATGCATACATGCATGGACTACTTTTTTGAGAGCTCTACACACCAAATCTTGTCCGTTGAGATCTAAGCGAATCTACGACCAGATGTGCAGTTTCGTTTATACTTCGGATACGTATATGTGCCTCGTCCCAGATATGCAACTCCAGCAGCCTAGACCCCGAAGCCACAGGCTGTCGAGGGTGGGCATCACTACCGTCAGCGAGCTGCAGGCGGCGGTGCTCAGCAAGACGCTGAACCAGCCACGGCCTGAACTGAATGTTGGTACGGAGAGTTTTGGGTTGAGATCAGGGCCATGGAGCCTTCTCTCTGCCGGGCACTCTACTAGTAGCACTGGTTCGAGTTTCAGCTGTTTCTTTCACTGTGTCGTGTCTTAGAATACTATTCCACGCTTCTTTTTATCGGCCGGGTTGCCGATTCTTGCGAGTTCTTTGGAGCTTCGAGCCCAAGATTCCAAACCCTCAGCCCACAAATGGTGCGGACAGATGAACATTGGGCAACGCCCGCCCACCCGCACGCGCCCCCCCGCCCGCCCGCACGCAGGCACACACACACGCACGCCCATCATCCCACCCACTTGTGACAGCGTCCGATGCCTGAAGCCGGCAGCCCGACTTTCTCAAATCGGCACCGTCTGAGGACCCTCCACCGCAGCCAGCAGAAGCCTTTCCCGGCCGTGACCTTGCGGGCGCTGACCGCGGTGGCCGAGGGCCTGACGGAGAGTACAGGCACATTGTAGTGTTTCAGCGGATCGGGTCGATTGGGATGTGAAGTCAGGGTGTCACCTTGCACTGGCCCCAAATCTCCCTACTCCAGCCATTGAGGTCCCTACCCTACACCCTAAACCCTAAACCTTATGTTGGCCAGCGGCGAACGAAAAGCACCCGTGGCTTTCGCCTGCAGGTGAGATGCCGAGGCCAGACCGCGAAGGTTCGAAGGAGGACTCTGAAGTTAGTGAAGTGGGCCTTTGGGGTCTCGAGGGTGTCAGTGTAGGGTCTACAGTTCAGTTGGGGTTTGGTCAGGGTATTTAGACTTTGAGGCTTTCTGTTGCCTTTGCTCCTGCTGCTGCTGCCGCTGGTGTTGTTGTCGGTGGTGGTGTTCATGTTACATCATGCTACCATTGCTGTAGCTGTGTTATGAGGTTGATGATGATGGTGTTGATGGTGATGATGATGCTGCTGCTGCTGCTGCTGCTGATCATATCATGTTCATCATGATGACGATGATGATGCTGATGATATCACTGTCCTATTTCACATGGTTACCTGTCATCATCTCATCCTCGCTATTTTGTCGTCGCAGCCATACCCTCAACGCCAGCCCCTTGCCTGTAAGGGCCAACGAAACACTCAGCCTCCAAGCCGTTCCAACCCGCACGCCGACAAGAAGCATTCCTAAGCCTGAAACCCTACGTAAACCCCAACGCCTGCATCCTAAAGTCCTGAATCCTTAATAGAGCCTAAACCCTACACAGCAGCCTAAGAAGAGAAGACTTGCGAGGAGTTCCCGAGGCTCCACGGCCTCTCCCATGTGTCACGTTCGCCGAGGTCAGCAGGGCTGGGTTTAGGAGAGCGGTGCCTGTGGGGGAGTGGGCGTTTAGGGCCTAAGGTCTCCGGTTTTTTGGGTTTTTTTGGTCAGAGCGCAGCTGAGAGCCCCATGCCCAAACTCAGCAGCCTTGGCCCAGCTTTTTTGGTCAGAGGCTGGCAGGATCGGGGTCGAGCGGGTTGTGGATTCGGTGGCCACTGTTGCTTTGGCTGGCACACGCTTTCGCTTAGATTCGTTCTCAAAATTCAGCATGGTTTACACCCTGAGCCCGGAACCCTAAGCAGCCCTAAACCCTACACCTAGGTAGGTTCATCGAAAAGACAGTCTTGGCCCAACAGCGCGTTGACACAGACACTTTCGAACACAGAGGAAGGTTTCAGAACATCGGCAGTGGACATGTTGCAGCTTGTGAAGGCACACGTATCGGTGGTAGACATGTAGCTGCTTGTGTAGGCACGCTCAAAGACCGCAAGGGACAATTTTAACACTGCTGTATGATGACGGTGATGATGATGATGCTGCTGCTGCTGATGATGCTGATGACGATGCTGATGACGATGATGATGATGATGATGATGATGATGATGATGACGGCAATGATGTTGATGATAATGATGATCGTCCTTGTCATGGTGGTATTGACGACGGTTGCTTTGGCCGCCTTTGCTCCCAATCCTGCTAGGTGGACATTTAGCCTGTCCTCCGGCGAGAACATGCTCTTTGGTTGCAGTCAGGGCTGGAGGGGGGGGTAGAATATCAACATCGTCAGAGTACTTGATGTGGCAAGGAGTGGGGGTTCGGGACGCGTATTCCCACCTCGGCCCTTATTCCCGGCTCCAACTCACCGAAGCCCTTCGCCGTAAATCCTCGCAGCCCAGGAGAAGGTTGCAACCCCCTGGCCCTGGATCGCCGCCCGGCACAAGAGTGATTCGGGTGGTTTGGTTTGGGAGCTGCAGTTTCAGCTTGGCAGGGCTGTTGTGGTTTGAGGGCTGGAGCGCGGGAGAAGCGACGCAGGCCTGTATTTTTCGGTCCACCGGGAGCGCTGCAGTCTTGAAAACAGCCTGAACAGACATATCGGGAAAGCAAGCTTAGAGTAGACATCATCGTCGTCATCCCCACGCCAGCACCAGCGGCAGCAGCACCAGCAGCCATCTCACACAACTGCACTTCGGCCCTGTTGCTCAGGTATGATCCCTACATCGATGCATCGCCAGACTTCGCGTGCCTCTGCCGCTTTGTTTTCTCGTGTCCATACTCTACTCGGCCGTGACATGCAGGAAGCCTCTTATGCAGCATCCCAAGCCCGAAAGTCTCAGCCGCAAGCACTGAATCTCCTCGACAGTTTTAGCAGTCGAGAGGTAAGCAAAACGGAAACCATCTAGAATCTAGTCGCAGCTCCCAGTGAATTACAATTATAGTTCGTACAAAGGGGTCCAAGTATCGCTGATGCTGCCATAACTCTAGGGCCCATTTCCAAAAGCACCAACGCATCGCCGAAAGCCTCACGCCGTTGCGCTCCTGTCCAGGTCGCGACATTCCAAGGCGCTGAGATGGGGTGGCGCATCGTTTTTGCACTTCCCATATTCGTGAAATTAATTACCACGAGCGCCAGCTTGTCAGTCAGAGGGGCAAGGTTTGTCACTTTCAGGGTTTAGGGTTGAAGGCTTTTGTTGTGGGGGTCAGTATACTCTACGGTAGTATACAATGATCTAATCGAATATAGCTTAACCTGCTATAACATGCTGTAATATACTGGAATATATACGGTAATTTATTGTGGTACGATAAATACTTGATGACACGCTTCCGGATCGGCGGTGACACTACACTAAACCCTAAACCCTAAACGGAGGAGGTTTGTTCGGCGTGCCAGACTTCCCTTGAGAATCCGATGCCCATAGTGTATTATAGCAATAGTATGTTTTTTTTTACAGTACCTATAGCACATATATATATATAGATATGTATGTGTATATATGTATGCACTCATATATACATATATATATATATACACACAGATATATGTGCATATATATATACATATGTATGTATGTATGTATGTATGTATGTATGTATGTATGTATGTATGTATGTATGTATGTATGTATGTATGTATGTATGTAATGTAATGTATGT